GGGCAGAATGCGCTAAGAGTGAAATGGGGGCTCAAAAGGCGGGTAACATGCACACCGTGTAAGCAACGAACTGTGCAGACGGTGTGTTGCTCACGGAGTTGGGTATTATTGAGCTCTGCAAGTGGATATTGAGCCACTGTTACACGGTGTTTGGCAACAGGGTATGGAGGCAAGTCAGAGGTATCCCAATGGGGCTACCATGCTCGTCGACGTGGTGCAATGTGTATTTTTTCAGGTATGAATTTCAGTTCATTCAGAGGCTGCTCATTAGGGGAGCATTGTGCTACGCGTCGATGTTCCAACATGCCTTCAGGTACATCGATGATGTGCATGTGGTTAACAACCCGGCTATCCTAAATTTTTTTGATAGCGACCAACCGCGGGTAGCGGACAACATCTTTTGGATATACCCGCTGCATATCATTGCGATAAAGAATTAGACCACTGAATACACAATGAATACCGATGGGCTATTGTTCGGAACTAGGGCTCAATTCTTGCACCTGGACATTGAGGTTATTTCTCAAAACGCTGGTCTTTTCACTACTGGGCCTCAAATAGGCCAGAGATGCAGTCTTGCAACATCTTGATAGCGCAAACCGCGATGATTATGCTTCTTACCTCTGTGGCTACTACAACGGCCTATGACATTAAGTCTCTGATTGACATCATGGTGAAAAATGACTTTCAATTACGGCGTTGCATGGGTGCTGTGTTCAAAGTCATTGACCATCCTTCCTTATACCAGACATTTCGCTGCTGCCCTGTCGACACAAAATGAGTATTGGAGGTAAGCTTTTTATAGAAACATCTCATGAGAGTTCCTATCTATTTTTAATGGACTTGTGTAGCATGTGATGATGTGTGTGCCTGTCATTCGCCTGGGCAAAACGGGTAAATGATGGGGTGATTGGAGATGGTCCTGAACGGGGGTTCAGGACCATCTCCTGAACCCCACTGATGGATCTCCCAGTGGGAAAGGGGTGGGTCACACACACACACACACACACACACACACACACACACACACACACACACACACACACACAATCTTACGATTGACTTTGGGATAAGTAATTAAGTAAAACAATAAAATACGAATTGGAAATATAAGCTTAGTAAAAAACAGGGTGAAAAAAAATAAAAAAATAAAAAATTAGGGTAAAAAAAATGAGTGAAAAATGAGTAAAAAATGAATAAGGACCAGCCAGGGGTTGGTCCTTTGGGTGCGATCCCATATGGATGGGAATTCTTGAACATCGGGAGGCTTACCCATGGTAATAAGGGATACCGAAAAAAAAAGGGGTCTGTCCGAGGGATTCCATTATGAACTCGTGATCATGTTTTCGGGTTCCCATAAGAAAAACCTGCCGTAGATGGAGAAGCCTAATCGACGAGCAAACATAGTCCGACAATTAGGGTCTTGAACACGCTACGGAGTAGAAACTAGAACCACCCGACTATATTATCGCTAAACCGGTCAATCCTAATCCTCAGTAAGTTGGGTCGGGCGGTAGCGCACCAAGGAAAGTTATCGTCACCGCGATAAGCTCCCCCGGGGTTCTGCCGATGGTTGCAGCATGATGAGTGGCCAGCCTTTGTGGATCGAGCAACACTTCCGCAGTCCTGCGCGCTACGAAGAAGAGAGGACGATTGTTAGTCTAAGAGCGTGTGTACTGGTGATGTGTTCCTTAGCGTGATTTTCGAGTAACCCTGGTGCCACTCTGACGCGTGAGGCGGCCCTTACGTTAGCGTTGATTACAACACCGACGAGAGTTTCGCTAAGGTGCACACCGGAGTGGGATCTGACGTGGAGTTACTGAGCGATGGTGACAACTCTCTCATTCGACGAGATGATGGATGAGCACCTGCGGGAGGTGAATTTGATCGAGGAGTCTGTAGGAGAAGTGCCTCTCGAGGTGATGTTTTTTGGCTCCCTAGCTAACTGTATCATTTGTATGGGTTGTATTGTGTTTTGTTCTGTTTGGTTTCAAATATGATATCGTCCTAATTGAGTAATTTATGGAAACAATCTTTATTATTTTGATTGATTCCTGTTCTGGTGAAAAAGAGAAGGATGAACGATTGTGCTTATTATTTTATCCTCTGATGAGCTGATAAAGGTGGTTATATCAGCGAAAAACTAGTTTAAGGGATCGGTCACTACCCCTAGCTGATAGGGCTCTGTGTGTGGCCGAGTGGTGAACCATTGGTACCAGGAATCATTGTTATGTATTGGATGCCTGCTATGAATGAATATGACCGTCCCTTTGATGACTCACCTACTGCATGGTACTATGTGCTGTGGATCTTGTCGTCTTTCCATATCGTTGGGTGATAATGGGAAATGGATGGGGTTTGTTTGGTTAGATTTTATTCGCAGATGATTGCGAGTAATGGAGCGCGAGCAATGTCCTCTGAAGCGTTGTCTGATCAGTTTTTACGAGCTGCAATTATGATTTTTGACAGTCTCCGCTGCATGCATTTATTGATGGGTCCCCCTGCGTAGCCCTCGGTGGTTTGGCAACGAGGCAGCTGTTGTTAAGGATATGAAATGGGTTGGGCAGGGGAGCATTGAGTTGGGTGGGGGATGCGAGTGGAGGGAATTATGAGCATGTACCTCTGTAGATTAGGGTGGCTAATTGTGGCGCAAGTTATGAGGTGGGGGTCTCTGTGTGATATGCGTTGTTGTTTGTCTTCTTGTTAAGATCTGCATGCGCTTCGAGTGATTCGCCTGGGGAATAGGCGTTCCTGGATATGGGTAGGATGGAGGGGTCTGACTGGAATCTTGACGGTTACATGCGGAATGGGGAATGGCCAGATTGTAGAGTGAGGACAAAAGTATGAGCTAGGAGCTTGTGGGTTGCAGCAAGTGCGGATGCACCCTTGGGTTTTCGATGTGTAAGGAGTATGTACCAGAGTGAGCCTGTGGACGAGAGAAGAAGGGAGTATGTGTAGATAAATTCTTGTTTTTTTTTGACAAAGAGGAGGTATATTCGCGTATTGAAGTATTTTTTCTGAAGTACGGGAGTGGACACCTGAGCTGGCTTGTATACGAAAGCGAAAAAAAGGGAGTATGTGTAGATGGATTCTTGTATCCTTGGCGGGAGGACATATATTCGCGTATTGGTGTTTTCTTTCTGAAGTGCGGGAGTAGGCAATGGAATAGAAGGGGATAATGGTATCATTGAAATACCACCCACATGCTGAGTGCAGGGCGTGACTCGCGTAGGATGAGAGGGATAGCCGAGTGTTCTCTAACAACGAGGGTGCGTGGGTTCTGCCAATAAGCGTGAGTTCGTAATGATGAACTGAGATGAGTGAGGAACTGGCTGTTTCTTGAGTGTATATATGGGCTGATTCCACTACCGCCAAGTTAATAAGGAGGAAAGCTCTCGCCCATACTAAGTGTTGCGTGATCCAGTGTTTGTTTGTTTGTTTGTTTGTTTGTTTGTTTGTTTTCATTTTTTCGTACAGTTTTGCGGTTTTGATTCTAATATATAAGCAAGCATGCTCTTTCGTCCATTCGTTTGCTATACTATTGAGACTGTAATGTTTCCTATCTGTCTTTGGTTTGTGGCTTTGGGCATATGTATGGATGATGGAAGTATGCCGAGATTTCATGAAGCCTTCCTTTTACTCAAACCCGAGATCAGGAGGCAGGGTTAAGAAGAAGCGATGTGCCATGGTTGGTAACGGGATTGATTGGGTTGGTCATCATATGGGACATGGATGTAGACATGGTCATTGGCTGCATTTCCCGTAGGGAGTAACATGGTATGGAGTACACGTGTAGTGTACTGAGGCTATATCAACGTGTGTTTACACACACAGCATCACACACACATATACACGCACGCACACGAGCACTCTCTCTCTCTCTCTCTCTCTCTCTCACACACACACACACACACACACACACACACACACACACACACACACACATACGCACACACACACGCACACACACACGCATACACACACACAAGGCCTCGCCACAGCCATAACGAAACAAACTACGGGCTGCGCACCCGTGCCCTCACGGTAAGTCAATGGTCCTCCTGACATCGACGTCGGGAGTCCCACACGGACGTTGTTCAAGGCGGAGGGTACCGGCGGGTTCAGTCCTGCAATTTGCAAGAGGTAACTTTGACAATTTTTTGTGCCCGGAGGAATTCCCAAAAAATTTGAAATATTAAGAATCCATAAATTAGGTTGTGCTCTTTCCTGGAAAAATATTAGAATTTTTTCAAAAAATCATTAAGACTGTGAAATAATTGTCGTGCCGCTTCGACATATTTTCCATTTTTGCCACTTAGCCATGTGCGGGCTAATGGAAAAAGTACTCCAACTTTAGTGATTTCTCACGCTGAGAAGAATGCGTGAAAAAATCTGAAAATTGGAGTGCTTATAGATTTTGTTTGATCTTTCCAGGGAAAAAATAAAAAATCATTTCAACCACGAAATAGATAGCGACTGCAATTTATTCCATATTCCAGTTTTGCCATTCTCTCTCTCTCTCTCTCTCTCTCTCTCTCTCTCTCGCTCTCTTTGGTAGCCCCCCCCCGCACCTTCTTTCTCTCTCTCTCTCTCTCTCTCTCCCACTCTCTTGCGCGTGGGCACTTAGTCCCATTGCGTTGGCTACCTTAGGGCTGCATTCCCCTCGCCGCGCAGTAGACAATGTGGAATGGACGGACCGGATCGGACTACTACATTGTGGACTGAATCTGAAAGATCCGCGTTGCTAGCCCGCTCGTGGGACCGTTCCCCGGATGACCCAATTTATCGGGCCGGAAGAACACCCCCGGATAATCCCGAAAATACCATTTCTGGGGCCTGTGCTTCGGGGTAGTGGGGGTGGTATCGGGTTTTGATAAACCCCCGGACCCCATGGCAGTGACGGATTTTTGAAAGTCAATCCACTAAGATCAACGGTCCACTTGGGCGATTTCTTGAATTCGAAACCAGATGGGCCCACAGTAGTGCGTTTCGGTTTGAGCCGCGGGAACTGGCCCCCTCGTCTCTCAGCGCCAACGGCCCTCTCCCTGATGCCGCGCACTGCTCGCCCTCCGTCTCTCAGAGCCGACAGCCCGCTGCCATCGCCGCCCGCTGCTGGAGCCTTCGCTGCCCGCTGCTGGAGCCTTCGCCGCCACCGCTGGAGCCTTCGCCGCACGTCGAGGAGAAGAGCCATCGCGAGCGACCTTACTGGGTAAGGAAACGCCCGTCCTCCGCCTCGACTTTCCTCCACCTTCTCCTCCTCCTCTTCTTCGTCTTCCTCTACCTTCTTTCATTTTCTTCCTCTTCTTCTTCTTCTCTTTCTTCGCCTTCGTCGCCGTCTTCCATTTTTCTTCTTCTTCTTCGCTTTCTTCTTCTCGATTTCCAATCTCTTTCTTCCTTCTCTAGTTTCTTCTTGGGTGGATGGCTACGGTGGATGCGGGAGAGTGGTTGCCCCTTGACAAGTCCTGGTGCGCAGCTAGGCGAAACGCGCGTCGGGGAATGTGCGCGTTCAGCTGATTGTTTGTGTAGGTGCTATACTGCTCATCAATGAGACATGGACGCATAGCGATTGGCCTCGCTGTTTCAATTCAATTCTCCTTCTTCTTCTTCTTGACATGTTGGAGGTTCGACGTCGAACCAGTGGCGTGTGGGCCGAGAGAGAGAGAGAGAGAGAGAGAGAGAGAGAGAGAGAGAGAGAGAGAGGGAGGACGAAGTCGGTAAGGGAGGCGGGGCTGCCTGCATGGTGTTTTTTCTTGTTTTTTAGGGAATCAGTCAGTCAATCAATCAATCAATCAATCAATCAAAATCAATCAATGGAACCATTAAAAAAATCGTTACATTGATTGATTGATTAACGCCGAATCCCACGAACTACTTAAAAAAAAAAAAACATACAAACACAAGAAAATTAAAATAACGAAGGGAGAGTGCGTGAGCGGAACCACGTGGAGGGGAGACGTGGAACCAGGGGTGGGCGGAGAACGGGAGAGGGAGGAGGGCGGACGACGACGGAGGGAGGGAGGGAGGGAGGGAGGGGGATGAGAAAGGATGGACGACGATGGAGGACGAGAGCAGGGATAGTGGGAAGAGGAGGTCAAGGGGGCCTGGAGGAGAGCGAACGGGATGGCAGCGGGGGATAATCGGGATGGCAACGCCGGGGGGCGAGAGGCCATCCCCTCTGCTGATTTTTTCGGTTTTTTTTTTTAATCAATCAATCAATCAATCAATCAATCAATCAATCAACCAATCAGTCTAGCAAGATTCTATGAATCAATCGAATCGATTCGATTGATTCATAGTGTCTTGAAAGATTGATTGGTTGATTGGTTGANTCAATCGAATCGATTCGATTGATTCATAGTGTCTTGAAAGATTGATTGGTTGATTGGTTGATTGATTGAATTAACTAATCAATCTAGCAAGATTCTATGATTCAATCGAATCGATTTCATTGATTCATAGTGTCTTGAAAGATTGATTGGTTGGTTGGTTGGTTGGTTGATTGAGTGATTGATTGAAAAAAATATCAAGAAAAAAAAAACAAGGGGAGGAGGGGGGAGATTACGAATCTGAAAACGGAGGACAAGCAGGGGGTGGCGTTTCCGTGGCGATGGTGGAGGACGCCGCCGCGGCGGGAGCAGAGGTGGAGGATGAGGAAGAGGAGGAGGAGGGGGACGAAACAGGAGGAAGGTTGCGCGGGGGAAGAGGAGGAGGAGGAGGACCAGGAGATTGATAGATTTGTTGATTGATTGATTGATTGATTGATTGATTGAAAAAGATATATATCAGACAATAATACACGGGGAGGAGGGGGGAGATTACGAATCGGAGTGCAAGCGGGGGTGGGAGTTCCGTGGGGATGGTGGAGGACGACCCCGCGACGGGAGCGGCGGTGGAGGACGAGGTGGAGAAGGAGGGCGACGGAAGAGGAGGAGGAGGGGAACGAGGAGATTAATTGATTGATTGATCTCTGATCAATACTGCTCGAGGGGACCAACGGCCTATCTCTAGGTAGCGGGCGCCAAGCTTGCCCAGGAAGTAATATGAGGCCAACGGGGATTGAACGCAAGACCTCCTGAATGCCACTTGTGCGCCTTACCAACTGAGCTAGGCCACTGGATCGCTGTGCCAACTGACCTACATCCAGCTGTTTTTTTTTTTCAATTTGTTTAATGATGTAAGCAGGGAGGGTGGGCTGACCCTCAGGATCGGATAACCTGTGCCACAGCATCACCCGCCCGTCACCCATGCGTCGGGTGAGCCCCTCACCCAGCCAGGCCAATTAACTGGACCCGCCCCCCTCACCCAGCCAGGCCGGTTAGCGGGACCCGGGCCCCGCCCATCGCCTTGTGGGTTGGATGCGTGCAGGTAGGTGTGGGTGGGGTCAGCCGTTACTCACTTCTGTTGTGTGAGGTAGGCACAGGAACGGGGCTAAAAGAAGAAATAAAACAGAAATCGTGGAAAAAACCCAAAAGAAGAAAGAACTGTATAGGAAACGGGGAAAGAATGGTTTCAGTGTGCTTCATGCTGTCTGCTATTTTCTTCATTTGTTTCGCAAAGGGAACTCTTTTAGTTGATAGATATCTGACAATGTATGTATGAGTGTATGAACCATATGAAAGAGTATTTACAGCAATGTGACGAAGTGAAAACCACATGGCATGTGGATCCCCAACGACTCGTGAGCATAAAAGAAAAGCAGCGAGAACTCCGACTGCAGGACATATAGCGATTAAAGAAGAAGAAGAAGAAGAATAGCTTGAATAGATTGAAAAAGCGAGGCCAAGAAGAAGAATAGATTGAATAGATTGAATAGATTGAATTAGATTGAATAGATTGAATAGATTGAATAAGCGAGGCCAAGAATAAGAATAGATTGAATAGATTGAAGAAGCGAGGCCAAAAAGAAGAATAGATTGCATAGATTGAATAAGCGAGGCCAATCACCACGCGTCGACACTACGGAAACATCATCAAAGCACCTGCATGGACTCGACATAGCTCAGAAACGCGCACATTCCCACTCCAGGACTTATCAAGGGGCAAACCACACTCCTGCATCCACCTGTCAGACCACCGTGAGCATAGAGGGCCGTTCTGGCCTTGCCCTCTCACATATACTCTCACGCTAGCTATGTGTGAGTAACAAACTGGCGTAGGCACTCCCTACACTATTTGTAATAGAATGGGATCGCCTCACCTGCACTCTCCCAAGAACCTCACGCTTCCGCCGCTGCTGCACTCAGCACCAAATGTACCGGCTCTTCAGGGAAATGCCCGCCTGGTTGAGTGCGATGTAAGCCCAATAGGGGCCAATTTCCCGTCTAGGTACATTCCCGTTCCGTGCTCAGCTCCTGCAGGGTCTGAGCCCCTACCCGGTTTCTCTCCTGCCTTACCACTGGTCTCCCCTATAGGCCCGTCCTATAACTACCTACGAGTTACTAGCTATCGTGCGCCGCCGAGTCTGCTATGATACCCTATATGGATGATAGCACGTTCTATATACCATAACTAACTTCTCTGTGCCCATTCGAGGCGCCACCCTCCCCATTGTTTCCAGTAGTATACAACCAGCTATTCTCTCCCCTGGTTGTCCCATCATCATACCCTGCTATCTGTTGCTACTCTCTCCCTCTTTTTTTCAGTGCCTAGTGTACAGCCCGATAGCTCTAATATCGGGTCGGCCCCCCATTTTCTAAATTGCGCTTGCTAAGCCTTTCCCCTCTACTCTGTCCATTCACCCTAATATGGTACAGTAAAATACAACCCGGTTCACACTTGGTACTGGGAACCTGCCCTAAACCTGTGTAGGCCTCTCTCTCCTCATATTCCGGGCCCCTTCCGCCATGGTGGCCCCCCCTCTCTCGATCCAGGACCCGTTTGTCCCCTTCTGTTGTCACTCCACTCGTCCCCAGCTGACCACGGTCTAGCGAACTGAACAAGTCCTTCAGCGAGCATCTGCCATGCTTCACTGGTGGTCTTGGCAAACCTCGCCAGGGCATGTTTAGGGTTTAGGGTTTAGGGTTAAGCAGTGAGAACTCCAACTGCAGGACATATAGCAATTGAAGAAGAAGAAGAAGAACAAAAAGAAGAAGAAGAAGAAGTTCCATCCCGCTCAAGGACATCAACAGCCGTGAACACAGATAGCAATGGGAGAGGCACAGTTGCTGTACAGTGGAATCTCATCCATCCAGTAGCAACTGAAACTGATCCATCAAGATGGATCAGATTTCTCAGTTCCCAAGATTTCTCAGCTTGGGAACTGAGAAATCTCCCGATCATTCCATCCATTGATGAATCAATACTCCATGCACTTGGAGTGCTTGGCAGATTGATCAACAGGTCGTTGTTTGTCGGAAGACATTCCGGCCCCCTTGGACCGAGGCACTCCAACAATTGTGTTTTTGGATAAGAGGGCAAGGAATGGTGGCTGGTAGGTAGAACTGGGAATCGTCCTTAAACCACCAGTACATCCGAGCCTCTTTTGTACGTGGCGGATTCCACTGCGTGCCAAGCTTTGCCGGAACGCTGGCGTGGCATTTTTGTTTTACTTTTGGCTGGCGACTCCAGCCATTTTGATCCGGTGGCCCCGAGCCTCCAATTTTTTCGGAGAGGCTCAATTGTGATTCTCCACTTGGCTGGGGCCATGTGCTGGTGGTTTAACATCTGTTTGACTGGAAGTAGGGGAAAATCCAGGAACCCAGAAGGACCTCCCAAGGCTGGTTGGCAACTGCTGATTGCGGAATTGAAGCTTGCTCAGCCCTTTTTTACCGTCGAAGTTACGAAGAGCTAGTGGCGAATTTGAAGCTGGGAATCACTACCCCTGTATAGCGCGGCCTGTGACAGCTTTTTTGAGTTCACTGTTTCGGCCCTCCCTGGTAGTTTTCCTCACATAAAGGCCCTAAAGCACACTTCTTGACAGCGATTTGAGTCCAATTGATAGGAGCAGTATAGTGCGAGTGTCACGTGACATGTCTGGACTCTCAAAAGAGAAATGTGACTGCAGAGATGCCTGGAGCCCTGAAGTGCATTGCTAAACCAAGGGGGGAAGTTTGGGAACTTACCAGTAAGCTGATGGGAATGCACCAGAACTGAGATTTGGGTGCTAGGATTAGTAGGAATGGCAAGTGAGTCATTGGAATGCTATATTGCGAGAGGTTTTGTGTACATGGAAAGGGATTTTTTTCAGGTAACGTTTTGAGCTTGTTTGGCTCCAAGTCACTGGTGACAAAAATCGGATGCCAGTGATTTGTTGAGTAATAGGTTGACCGCGTCTTTTATTATAAAACCGGAACAAGGAAAGCTGCTGAGACTGGTACTGAATTGGGTCCAAATGATGAGGACCCGGAACTGGTGTCAGTAAATGGAGGTGCAGCCTTTAGAAGTAGGTATGAGGGTTTGGTTCCCTGATGTCTTGCCTATGGTGTATTTTGATGAACTAGGTCTGCGACTTTTTTGCATGTTTCGTACTGACTATCAATTAGACATACTGTAAGTAAAATGTCTGCACAAGCACCAGACTAAGTCCTCCTTGGAAAGTCCACTGCCGTCCTATCTCTGGTGTTTCCGGAGGCGTGGTAGTATGGACGGTGGAGGCAGGGTGTAGATAGGCGAGTGTGTGGGATTTACGGAAGAAGAAGCTGGGCTTAACCCCCTGATGATGATTGCATCACTGAAGCCGACATGCATCAGGATGCTATACAAAACCTTGTTTGAATTGGATTGGTTGTTCTTCATCACCTCATGTTCTCTTTAAGCAGATGCATGTATCAACTCACTAGACTACTAAGTACGTTATGAGTTTTCCCTAACCATGACAGCTTTGTGGATGTGGACGGAGGCTGGTGTATTATTCTTGACACCCAGTCCTTTTTTTGTTTCATTTTGTCATAACAGCTTATGAGGCCCAACACGAGCCAAATGCAAATCTTCGCCTGAAGGGAGCATCGATGGGGCCATGGTTTGGCTTCTCCCAAGGCCTCTTCCGCATGGAGAGAATGGCCAGACAGGACGGGATGCGATGTGGCGGCCACTTGGGAGACAGCTGCTGACGATGGACCTGAAGAGATGGATGATATCTGCATATGGGGTATTACACTTATCATTTTGGGAACCAGCTTTTTCTCATGTTGCCCTTACACTATGGTTAAGTTCCAACTGGATGCCGCCATCAGAAAGCCTGCTGCTGTCATGGATCCAGAAAGACAGGTCAGTGTTTGTTATGTTGCCCCCCCCCCCCCACGCACCTCCGTCTTTTTGACCCCCCACCCACCCACCGACCCACCGACCCACCCCGAGCACCCCCCCACCCACCGACCTACCTCGAGGAGAGGGTAATCCTGACCGCTGAAAACAGAAAAAGCCAGGGCACTTCTAGCCCAGCAATTTGATTCATAGATGAGTGAAAGGAAGTTGTTGCACTTTGTGTGTCGCCAGCATGTCTTGCTGCACATCGTGTTGAGCGGTTCAACTTGGAGATCTTCAAACACTGCTTTTCATTTCTGAAACGGAGATGTAAGTTCTTGCTTATATGGAGTGAGGCATCTAGTCTTTTTGAGGGAGCATACCCTGCAGTCTTTTGACTGTGTGTATTCAGGAGGGAAGCCTGTGCTATAGCACAGTGGAGACAGACAATTCCCCCTGTCTCTTATACACATCTAGATGTGTATAAGAGACAGCTCCCCACCTCCTACCTCCTTTGATTGCAAAGCATTTGGGAGCCCTTTACTGATACCCATTTTTTCTTCTGCAAAGTACGTTCTGTAATCCTTAACCCTTGCGGACATGCACATAGACAATATGCACCTGGTTCACACTCCTATTCCTTAACAGTCCCCCTCTCTCATATTTACAACGTCTCGAAACAGTCTGGCACAGTCATGCTTTTCTTAGTGTATAGAGAATATGACAACACACACACACACACACATGCACACGCACACGCACACACACACACACACACACACACACACACACACACACACACACACACACACACAACCTTGCATTTTCTATTATATTGAGTATCTGTACCTTTTCTTTATGGATGCTTTGTTATGATTTGTGGAGGAAATGAGAGAGATAATTTGGGGTGTTTGACAACAGACATTACAGTCTTGTTAGCTCTCTGTCTTGGCAGATTTGAGCGGTTCGGATCGGGCTCGTACTAGCGAGCTACTTTTTCTCTGTGGATGGATGTGTTTCATTGGTTTGGCTTTTTATACATGACCTAATTCTTTGCCCTGCTTTGCAGCATGGGGCTGTCTTGTTGATGACGTAATGTCTGTGGGTGGCCATGAGTTTTGTGTGGGGTGGGAGTTTGGGGTTTTGACCACAAAATCTCTGCGAGGAGGCTTAGAGCGTGTTTGCTGTGGGTGTCATTCCCGCAGGCTGCTCTTTCGGAGCACATGGAAGAAGGGGGTAGTTTGTAGGGTGTTTTAAGCAGTGGCTCTCCTGGCATAGTACACACGGTGGCCTCGCTGTAGGACATCATCCGATTCTGCAGGTTGTGCAGCAGGGGGAGGTTCATGGCACTCTTGGTGTTGCGTACAGGTCCTGTGGTGTATTTTTGATTTGTGGTGGCGTTGTAGGCCGGCGCAGGGGGCTCTAATTTTTTTTTTTAGACCATTGGCATGCGTGGTCGTTGCTTGTTTGTTAGTGGAGCCTTTTGTGTTATGCTGTTTTCTGGTTATGTGGGCCAATATGGAGGGCTCTCCAAGTTTTTTCGGACCTATGACGGATGGGGTCGGTGCTTTTTTGCTGGTGGAGTCCTCTGTCTCACGTAAGTTGCTTCTTGCCCTCCACCCTTTTATGGATCAAATAAATATATGTAGATATGTACATGTGCAAGTGTGCCGCTTCGGCGGCAGACGGGTGTGTGGGCACTGGGCGCTGAACCACACAAACGTGGCCAACCTTGCATTTTCTATGATATTGTCTATCGGTACTCTTTCGTTATGGATGGTTTGTTATGATTTGTGGAGGAAATGTGAGAGAATTTGGGATGTTTAACAACAGACGCACACACATACATGTTACAACGTCCAGGTCATTTCAGTGCTCTTACCTTTGCGGAGAACTCATGGACCCTATGGGACAGTGGCGGTAAGGTGCATGCAGTGGGAAATATTAACTCTTTCTATCACCAAGCAGTAGAACATCACTCGGTCTGGCTCGTCCATCACAGTATGGCGATGAGCACTCGCAAGCACTATTGGCTCCGGAGAGCAATCCGGCTGAACCTCGTTCTTTCCCTGTGCATGGTCAGGCAGCATCCTCTCCCTGTGTGAATCGGACAGATTCTACCACGAACAGTGAAGGGACCTCTGCAGGGGATGGAGTTTGTGCCCTCCTCCCATTGTGTTGTCGCACAGGTACAGTCCGGTTAGCAYGTGCACAACATAGCCTCTGCTCCGAACACTATGAAGGGATGGTCGCTGCCAGCCTCTGCCACGAAAACTGCAATCCTTTGACTTGTACTCAACCCCACCCCMCCCCTTGATTACTTGCCCAGCATGCCGTTGTGGCCTTSATCTGCCATGCTTGAATAACTGCGCACGTCCGCCTTCATTGCTATTGACATGTCAGCAACATGCCATGTGCGGTCAATGTTTTGAGGATGCTGTCATAGAAAGTATGTGTCTCTACTGSGTGGACTATCCCTAGTGGCATCATCCGCCACATCTTCTCCTAGCATGTCCCACATGTGGTGTTGGTCATACACCTACTGCAACCGCAGTCGGAATTCTTTYGTCCTTGCCTGACGAATGATGGGCACAACAACCTGAGGAGGAAAACAGATTACCATATGAAACACCCACAGTACTGATAGGTTGTCTCCACCAGGGCGAGCAGTTGCAGACCAAATCCTGCAACAATTGAACACCCTTGCTTTGGATCAATCTCCCCGTCGTCATCTACCCATAGAGAAGGAATAAATACCGAGGAAACCCAATAAACTTGCTCCATGCCGCTTTGTGATTACCTACCGGAGATTCAGCTAGCAGGTGGTTCACATGCCTTATGCCGTGGGGATTATGCAGGGATAGCGTGGGCGAACTTTTGTCTTCATACGTATGACGACAGTGTATACTGCAGTCATGTACGACACCCGTACATGTCATGTTCAATTTGTAGACAGCGGCTAGAACGGCAATGTCTCTACAATTGCGGTCGACGTGCCTCTGTGTTCCTAGCATGTGGGAGCCATGTAGCCTGTGACATCTGTCTTTCAGGCACACAGACCAGCAAGCACACACACACACAAACTTAGAAAACTTAGTAGAGAGCGGGAATCTCTGCAAAGCATTCATTTTAGCAGCAAATTAGGGCCACTGCTCGTAGGAAAAGGAAAAAGAAAGAAAGAAAGAGAGAGCTACGGCAGTAAGTAGTTGTAGCCCATAACTGCTGGAACACAGACCTGAATTCGGATCCAGAAGATATATTGCTTGCCTGCTCCTTGCTCATCCGAAATTCGTTGAGTGTCTCCGCTGAGATATAAGCGCCCTGAAGATTCTGCTGGGGCCCTTCAGGAAAAAAGCTACATGCAATGAGGAATACGGGGCCCTAATTTTTTTTTCTCTGCCCTTAAAGTATGTAGAAGGGAGGGGCATGTCTGGCTACCTCAGCCACCCCCAATACCCCTATACACCCCCTCAACACCTCCAGATCGCCCCCCAACACCATCATTACAC